CTTCGCGATGCTTTCGGGAAAACTGATGAATCAAGTAATCAACTACATCAACCAATTCTTCAACTGATGAATGGATTAATTAATTGATTAATTGATTCGTTGATGAAGTGATTCATTAATAATTAAATAGTGAATTATTAAGTAGTGATAATATAGGTATGCAGACCGCCAAATGCCGGGGCAAGAGCAGGCAAGCAGGAATTGACGAACACAGGATTAAGTTGCCCAGTGATTCTTTTTGAAACAAGTAGAAGCCACGAACTTGTGTCCTCCACCTTTCATGCAGCAGATGCCCTGTTTTCTGCGAGTTAGAACATCCATCATCCTTGCTCGAGATCAGACTATCTGTCCTGCCCTCTGGCCTTGTCCTGAAATCGAACCAACTCAGAGCAATAACCCGAAAGTGTTGGAGAGCCTGCCACCGGAGCAGCATGCCGCTTTAGGCCACGAGCGCAGGGCTCCGTAAGACTGGGAAAGTCCAAGGATGGACGCTTCCAAAACACTGGAGTTGGAGCTTCCGTTCGATCAGCTGGGTTCAATGCAAGGCATTATGGTTTTGGCATCAGAGTTCTGCACGCATGGATGTGAGTCGCTATGGCTTGCGATTTGCCTGAGTTGCTACGCTGGTAAGCCACAGCAGGCCACAGTCGGAGATTACTCCCAGCATCCCCGAGCGAACGCCGGTACCTTTGTATTGCTTGTGGCAGAGTCATGCACGTAGACGTAGATCGCCTTGTGGCACATTGTGGCATGCCGTATCTGTAGCGGAAGCGGGCCATCGCAGACCACTTCGCGCCCGTATCTCGGAAGTCTTTTTAAGCTTGCTTCTGTCAGCGCAGGATCGGGGATTCTGGATCTACAATCCCAGAGAGCCCAATACCCCTTAATTAAGGAATATACCTTAAACCACAATATTAAGCCCTCTATAATTTAAGGTATCTTCCTCAATTAAGGAGTATTGGGCTCTCTGGGTACAATCCTCAGATCCTCTGCGCTACGCGCCGTTGCACTCACCGGCCGGCGGCGCCTCGAGCCGAGATTCGGATCCCCGCCTGCTTCATGGAGGCCTCGCGATGTCACACTTGGAGGTTCATGGGTAGTTATAAGTGGGGTTATGAGGTTCCTTTAAGGCTTCCTTTAAAGGGTTCTATAGTGGGGTTTAGGGTTTAGGAGGTTCATGGGTAGTTATAAGTGGAGTTATAAGTCCCCTAATATGGGTTATAATTATAGTTGCCCTACTTATAACCCCACTTATAACAACCCATGAATCTCCAAGCAGAGAGGCACCGGCCATGTCGAATATAGGGGCCTAATTAAGAAACCCAGGGCTTTACTGGGGTTCTTTGTAGAACCAGGTTCCTATAATACAGCGACATGTGGATCTATTCCACTCGTCTTGTCTGCCGCAAGACTGTCCGCTCCCGAAGGCCTTCAGCTCCTCGACAAACTGTGAAGGGGCCGAGGAGCCTCAGAGTGACTTCATCAAGGGCCGCAGAGCAAAGCTGCGTTTCTTCCGTTTCAAAAGGGGGTTTCCGAAAATAGGGGACCCTAATATGGTACCCTAAATAGCAGGATCCTTATTATAAGGACCCCAAAATAAGGTACCCCTTATTCTCGGAAACTCCCAAAAAGACACTGACACAGCGCTACGATGTCAGGATCCACTTCAGCCGAAGAGCAGCTCATCTGCGCGAGCGCGTGGTTCAAGGCCTGTGCAGGTAGGTTTAGGGGTGGGCTCCGGGTCAGAAGTGTAGGCTTCGCTGATGCCGTGGGATTGCCATGAAGCCTGCGCTGAAACTGTAGGCAGCGCACAGGGACGAGAAGAGCTTCCCACTTCAACTCGGAGCCACCCCATCCCCACACTGAGCCTCCACGGGAAGGTTGCTGGCATCGCGGAAAGCTTTGCGCGCCAAGATCATCACTCGATCCCACCTTGGCAACAGTATCAGGCCCAATACACGGCCTTGAAAGAGCTCTTCTGGATGTTGGGTCGACGCAGCCCGAGGCGAGTTGGGAACTTTAGGAACCCCTTTGGGATCCCTGATATAAACCTGCTTCCGGTCCTTGCCGGTGCGTATGTCAGCCACATTCAATGCATGCAACGCACCAGCACAAGATCGGTTTCCCAGCGTAACTCATGGCAAGCACTGGGGCGGAAGGCGTTTCTCTCTAGAACATCCTGCATTCCCGATTCCCGAAGCATAGGCCCTTAGAGACCAGGCGGCTGCTGACTTGCCACCATGCCGGGCAGCATCCTGTGCAAGAATGGTCCGGGTTCTGGTTGCTGCAAGTTTGTGGATACTGTGGCGACGTTTCCAAGGTTCAAGTATGGCAGGTGCTCAACGCAAGTTGGGACACTGAGTCGTTGTAGACATTTGTAGGTCGCGGCAGGCTCATCGCGTTACAATTGCTTGTGGAGTACAAGTCCCCTGTTGCCTTAACCCTAGTTGGAGGCGGTCGCCCGCCAAGTGCAACCGAGGTTCGTGGCGATAGTCGTAGCATCCGGCTCAATACCGCTTGCCAGCATTAGCTCGAAAGCTGCCCAGGCACTATCATACCTTTCATCCGATTGTGCGAGCATTTTCTCCAACATCAGACCACTGCCTACTGATGTCTCAACATGTTGCACTGGGTGCTTGAGGAATGCGTCTACTCTTCCGGGGATTAGAGTCAAGGGTTTGGAGGGCCCTTTGCGGCAAGTTGCTTCCTCGTCCGGAAGCAGCCGCTCATCAGACAGGTGTAGTGGATCACCTGGACTGGTGTACGGTTGTAGGACTGAGGCCTCTGATCGATGAAGCCCCAAATCAGGCGACACATCCCATCAACGAGCAAAGCCAACATCAGGGCGCAGAACTAATCCAGGTACCCCCAATGGAGTACCGAAGGACATAAGGACATAAGGTGACTCTGAAACAGCAGCTACCTGAGCCATGAGATCTTCGTCACACGAAGTTGAGCCCAGTCGCGGTAGGCTTGCCTCCAAACCTCTTCTCCCAGGACTGGACCAATTCCAAGGCCTCCTGCTTGGAGGTTCATGGGTAGTTATAAGTGGAGTTATAAGTCCCCTAATATGGGTTATAATTATGGTTACCCTACTTATAACCTCACCTATAACTACCCATGAACCTCCAAGTGGAGGGTGAGAAGAGCACGAGGCAAGGTCTGTTAGTTAGCATATACCCTTTCCATTTTCTAATCATGCACCCCCCCCCCTAGCCCCCAAACCAGAACAACCTATGCCTCAAGACCCCCATAGAAAAACCCATATTCCCAACCCTAAAACCCTAACCCTAGGAAAATGGGAATGGTATTCTCTAATAAAATAGCTATATATAATGAGGTCTAAGGATAAGGCCAAACCATAATATAGTTATAGTCTGCAGCATCTTAAGGATGAAAAAGCTCAGCAGTGGAAAAACAAAGACGACATGGAATCGAAGCTTCATTACATAACGATGAACTCGGAATATGGCTATTCTAATCACAACTACATGAAAGAATTCATGAAAATATTGATGGTGTTGAGTTAATAAAAAGGAATGGTTAGGAAATTGATAAAATGGGTGGTATTCAAACAATGGAGTATAACGCTTTTGCCTTCATTGAAGTCCTAACTTATCCAGTTAATGAAAAAGGTGAAACGAAATTTGACCAAAATGAACCGTATTATGAAATGACACGACAACTTCAAACAAGCTGGGATGAAGTGGGCTCGTGGAAATTTATGCCTTAAACAACGATAATATTATTTCAACAAACTAATATTTTCTTGCTTCTTACTACTACCTTATTCCTAAACCTTATTCCTAAAATAGATAAACTATTAGAGAATGCAATTTCCGTTTTCAAGGGCTGGGGATTTCGGGCTGGGGAATATGGTTTTTCTATTGCGGTGTGGATGTATGGGGTTGAGGTTGGGGTTTTTCTATGTGGTGGTGTATGGTTCTTCTGGTGGTTCCATGGTATGGGTATTGGGGTTGGGTTTTTCGTGGATTTAGGGTGGAGGTATAGGTTGTTATGGTTTTGGGTCTTCAGGTGGGTCTTTCCTATGGGTCATTCGGTGGGTTCAGGGGTGAGGCATAGGTTGTTATGGTTCGGGTGCTAGGAGTGTGTGCACGGTTAGAAAATGTAGGTGGTATATGCTAACTCTGTTCGGGCGCTGTTGCATGGTGACGGCGCCGGGCCGCCTACAACGACGACGAGGGTTGATCCAAATGCTGCTTTCGGTCGCGCTAGGGTGTGTGGAAAACTCGACGCCTGAGCCCGACGTTCTCATCCCGAAGAGTGGAGGGACAGACCCTGGCTTCATGACCCCAAGACCTGAAGGTATCCCGGGCGGAAGGCACTCCTGATGGGCACCACAACGCCCAAAGAGCTTCAAGAGGGTCACCTCATTCAATTCAGCAAGGCGCTTCCCTCGAAGGCCCTTGCTATGTACTATCTGTTACATCTTACATGATAGACACTATATGATTGTATAATACATACCATTGTTGATCCATTACATAGGATACTATAAATGGGAAAGCTCATGTCGTCTCGTGTCGCCGTGGACCGTGCACCCCCACGCCTTACCGAGGCCCTGACAAAAGTGACATCGGAAGGAGCAACTCCCAAAGCCACCTGGTCCTCGTAGAGGTGGTTCCGATTTTTTGGCCTCGATCCTTTTACTTTCAAGTTTCTTGAAGTAGAAAAATGTGGCTCACAAGTTGAAAATGGAATGTTCTGTTCCGGGGTGCCGAGGTCATGGACGTGAATGCACCCTTGGCGCCTGCGGGGGCTACATACCATCGGCTACGTTTGGATGGATCTACTACATTATTTGCGTTATCTGTTATATTTTCAAGGATCTACTGCGTAATATATACCGTATGTGATATACTACACCGTATTTACAGAGTATACTTTGACCCTCCCCTGGTCCTGGAAGATTTGCCGCCCAAGCTCGCAGTTGCGCTCGTATCGGCATCCTCGTCAGTTCCCAGGGATCGCATGCTCAGGGTTTAGGGATGTTTGGCTGAGGGCTCCGATGGGTTTGGACTCTTGCATTCAGCAAGCCTGTCACGCCTAAGCCGTTGACTCCGTCATATTACAAGCTGTATCTGCAAAAAGCCCCTTGGGATGTGCAAGCTAAGACACTCGCAGTCTTCGAATGAAAAGGACTCGCAGAGATGCTTATAAGGATAATAGCAACAATAACCTACTGTCACTGGCATAGAGATAGCGGTGCATGGCTTCCTTCCAGAAGGTGGGTGAGGATGATGTCATCGGGGATCTGGCCATTGGCCTTCATCTCCTTGGATCCATAGACATGAAAGAGTTCTGAGACCTCTTCGCTCTCGCTCTTCGATGTGCAAGCTTTCTTGAATCAAGCGATTCTGAGGCCTGTCTCGTCTTTTGGGCTGAACCTTCGGGCCCACCCCGACCTCGACGGTAGGCTTAAAAGGCTTCTGCGGGGCCCAAGCAGTTCCGTGTGGTTCGGCAAGAGGATTCCACAAGTCCTCATTAAGCCCTTGCCGAATTGATACTCCACGCACGTATGCGACGCCACTCTTCAATTGAAATTTAAACCTGCCCTCTCTTTTGCATATGTATGTGTATATATATATATATATATATATGCACACACACACTACTGCAAACAATGAATACTATATGTTGCATGATACATAAATATTACGTATTCTATACTGAGTATTCTACAGAGTATGTTGCAGATGATGGCCTGTATATTGTCGGTTTAAGACACACACACACACATATACATACATCTATATATACATGTATACATATTCATCTGTCTATATGTATGTATTTGTCTGTGTATACATATACACTATATGCTGTATGCTGTATACTATGTACCATATAGTATATACTGTATATACTGTATACTGAATTTCACATACTGTAAACACTATCCTAGAGACTAAATGCTACAGGCTATATACTACAAACTGTATACTACAAGCTATAAAGTAGATCCGGCATTATGTACTATATACTATATCTTCATGTCATATATGGAGAGTGCCGTATATGATATAGATATGTACATATATATGTATATATATATATACATATGCATACATATATCATACTAACTACTGAATGCGTCTTGTAGTGTGTGCGTATATATATATATACATGCATTCTTGCAATGAAAACTTAAAACTACTGACTGACAAACTGTTTCTTTAATCTCATATATTATGACACATATTCTGTGTATGTATGTACATACACATAACCACATATAAAAAAAAATGATAACAAATCTTGTACATGTCCTAGAGTACAATATACAATGCGTAAGATATCTTATGTGCTACATGCCGTGTATGCAGAAACATACATATGTGTGTGGGCATGTGTGTATTAGATATATAAATATATATATATATATGCCCACAAATGGGAAAGGTTATATAGTATATCCCGGCTATATTGTCTTTCCTTCATGTGTTTTATTCTGCATGAATGTTGCAATCTTAGATGTATATATGTATATATTCATACGTGTATGTACACCTATGTATAAAAAATGCATATGTACTGCAGCAAGAGCGCTTCCAGTATGTCCAAAGCCTGCTTCAGGTGGTGCTGGTCAACGAGGCCCTTGATGAGCACGGAATATGCAATGATGTCTGGGACAACGCCTGGGCTCAAGGCTCCACCGTGTCTGTGGTTCAGGGTTTAGGGTTTAGGGTTTAGGGTTTAGGGTTTAGGGGTACTGCAAGCCTGCTTCGAGTACATTATCATTGTGGCGAAGGCGATGTCAACGAAGTGCCATGGAAAAACACATTAGTTGCACTGGCGTGGGGAGGCTCGGAACATCTGTCATGCTCCGAGCAGCCCGCTCTCCATCTGAAGTAATGAAACAAACGGAAATCCTTCAAAGAACCGCCCTTCGAAAGCCAAAACTCTTGAGATTCCCCTAAACCGCCCAAGCCCATGCCATATGTCTCTCAAGCCGCTTGCTTGCTTCATGGTCTCAAAGAGCGCCAAGGCTTTCTGGAGGCCTCCGAAAGCAGTGGGTTTCCGTGCATAAAGCTGGCACCTCCCACCCGAAGCCCAAGGGTAAGCCGAGAAGAAGAACAGGCATCTTGGGTTTAGGGTTTAGGGTTTAGGGTTTAGGGTTTAGGGGTTTTGGGTGGGGCTTGGAATCATGGTGATAGTCATGCTCGAAGCCATCATGTGTGACTAAATTTTCGGCACTGCCCAGCACTCGAAGCAGCTCCTCCACTCCGCACGAAGCCCTTGATCAAGAGCGTACCTTGTGCATCAGCACTCTTCTGTGTGGGAAACAACAGAAATCAGAAAACCTGCGGTGCACATATAGGGGCCTTACTAATTAGAATAGGGTTTTGGGGCCCATTATACTGCAATTATGATAAGGAACCCCCAAAATAGTATAGGTAATTATTAAGGTGCCCATGATCAGCCCTAAGTTTCAAATCTAAATCCTCTTCGCACAGATAAGGCAGCCCAGCCACACATGACTCGATTCAGCTCCTCGTTGTTCTTCCTTGGGCAGCAGAAGTTGGATCCAATGCTTGCTGAGGTCATGGAGACAGACGATGATAAAGGGGATGATCGTGCAGCTCAGGATGTGGTATCATACATCATGACAGGAGCACATCGCAGCCGTACCAGGATAGCTGGATGAAAACGATTGAAATCATACAGCGATAACAAGAGTCGTGATGCAAACAACACATGCAACGTCCATGACCATGATGTAATAATCGGATTCCGGTAAGGACTGCTGTCAAAACTAGTGAATTACATTTCAGATTTGCACGAACCTCAAACTGCAAACCGGCCTCTTCATCAACGACAACCATACAACACCTGTGGTATGGTCTTGCTCTACATCCGAGACTTTCTCAGTGCGCAAGTAACAGCTTGGAATCATGAGCAAGCTGCAGTTCTCAAACAAGTTTGCGGGTCAACCTTTGAGAAGTCTGTGAAGGCTGCAATGCCAGGGTTCTCTGAGTTTCTTGTGAGATGCATGATGAACTTTGGGTGAGAAAGCTACGAGCGATCTGTGAAGACCCAGGCGGGCGGCTGTGCTGGGTTGCGCTTTGGCTTGCGGCTGGTTGGCTGGGCTGGGCCGCGGGGCTGGACGATGAGATGCAACTTTACGATCGGTACGAAACCGAGGGTTTAACCATAGACGGAACAGTGACTGCAGAATCGCCGAGCTTCAGAAACAGCTCGCTGATCTCGCTGGCCACTGTATGATCGTTCTCCGCCATGCAAGCATCCAGGAGGGCGCCGAGGGTGATGTCGTCCGGCTGCAAATTGTGCCTGCTTGGAGGTTCATGGGTAGTTATAAGTGGGGTTATAAGTAGGGTAACTATAATTATATCCCATATTAGGGGACTTATAACTGCACTTATAACTACCCATGAACCTCTAAGTGGGGAACTGTGCTCCGAGTCTGTCTAGATCTACTCCTGAGCTCAGAGGTCTTCAAGACTCATCCGGGCGCAGCACCAACAGGGCAAACTCCGAAGCCTTTCAAATCGTGCTTGGGGTTTGAAATTTAGGAGGCAATAAATAATAATTAATCATAATGAATAATAATTCATAAAATTCATAATAATTCATAATAATTCATAATAATTCATAATAATAATAATGATGATAATTCATAATAATTAATAATAAGTACTAATAATTAATAATTACAATAGTTCGATCCTGTGAGCCAGTGATGTACCAGGCTTGCTGCGCCCTCTTTCTTAGACAGGACTGCCCGGACTGACAGGGTTTAGGGTTGAGGGTTCAGGGTTTAGGGTTTAGGGTTTAGGGTTCAGGGTTTAGGGTTCAGGGTTTAGGGTTCAAGGTTTAGGATTCAGGACCATCGCCCCCGAACCGCACCCTGCTCTTCAAAGCAGTGTGGCACTATACACGCTATGATAGTACGGCCTACTTTCAAGCTTTGAGGCTTAAGACTCCCCGGTAATGGCCCGAAACCACGCACGACCATGGTCTAACCCTCCACCTCCCAAAAACGAGAGCTTCCAGCACCAAGCGGCTTCAGGAGGCTTCGCATGCACTCGAAGCAGCGAAGTCGGGACCGAGCCGTCCCGAAACCCTTCATCACGGTGTTGTAGGAGACCTCAGAGCGCTGACAGCTCGAAGAAAACGAGCTCAAGACACGGTGTCAAAACTACGTGTAACTTCAGCTTTGCGGGTGCTGCGATCTTGGACGTAGTAAGTAAGGTTATAAGTACCCTAATTGGGGTTATAATTATAGTTACCTTATTTATAACCCTATTTACTGAGTCCCATGATCCTCCAAGTACAGGTTGGGGTCTGAGGGCTCCTCTCACGGCCGAGGAGCGATGTCCACCAGAGGCTCCTTTGGCTCAGGCTTGGGGAGCAGGCGCAGGGCGCCCAAGCTCTACAAGCAGCAGGCTTCCAGCATGCAATGCTAGACTTAGAACTGCACAGATACGATGAAGGAATCGCAGCATCGGCATCTTGGAGCATCGTTGAAGCGAAGTCGATCCATAATCATCAGTGCATTCAGGACAGCGCGGTCATGAGCTGCTGTGAGCTGCATATCCCTGAAGCCTGACTCCCAGAACACAGCCTTAGACACTGAATTCCGGCTGAAGATTTCCTGAACTCCGACGCAGCGTCTCTTGATCCTTGCGTTTGAAGGGTGCCACAGTCGAAACCCTCGACAGGAACCCACACCGGAATCCTACACTCCTTTGAGGGAGTCGACATCTCATGCTCTCCTTCATCCGACGCTCCCGTTCGTGGGCTTCCTGCCTGGGCGTGATAGTTGAAACTCTCTGCATTGCCGAGTGCTGTCGGAATGGGAGCAGGTATGGCAGCATGAACAGCTTTCTTGAAGCTCATGGCGAAAAGCCGGAACCAGCCATGACAGAGGCTGAGCCACAGAAGCTCGAAGGCACGCTCCGAACGCCCGCAGTTGATGCAGGTGAGGAGGAGGAGGTTCAACATCAGAGTGGTGGCCTGCGCGGCGGCCGGGAAGCTGGAAAACAGGTGATGGCATGGCACTACCAGCCGGAAACCTCGAATAAGGCGCCATGAAAAGCAAGGCAGAACCAGCCGCATCACGGGCTTGTAAAAGGGCTTGCCAGGTATGTTCTGCTTGAAAACACGGATCATCGGACCCTGCCCCTACACATCGGCCTTGGTGTCAAGCTGCTGAAAAAGCCTTTCAGCATCCTTGACGTTTCCCAGCGCCACGTAGCATCGGAAATGAAGTACATAGTCCTTCGCATAGGAGCATTCTGCGTGCATCTCGACCTGACGCTGTGTGCTACAGCTCCTAATGACGAGAATATCTGTCTACCTTGCACAGGCTTCAAGCAGGTCGCTGCAACACAGCCTCTGGGCTAAAGCGGAATGTACCTCCCGACCGACCTTGAGCGGATCGAACCTCTCGATTTTCATCTATACGGAGCCCAAGACTTGATCCAGCTGCAGGCCTGGACCTTGCCCCCACCCGACTACACTGCAAAGTGCACTGGTCCTTGGGTGCAATGCTCGCCTGCTTCAGGCAACGGATCAGGAAAGGCAAGCATGTGGCAGTGTGAAATGGGTGCTCCTCCCAGAGGGATCCCGAGGGCACCTCGCTGAACTTCGCGAGCAGTGGCGGGGTGCGGTCGGGCAGATTGAGCTCGAGCGCCGCATTGATCAGGCAGGAGAAGGTGACCTCTGCCATGCGATCCGGCGACGATACGTACGTCGTACACCGTGAAACGGATTTACTTCACACCGCAAGCAGTGTATTGCTGCCCCCATGACCAGCAGTAAGTTCGACAGGCCTAGACACGATGAGATTGAAATACAACTACCGATGTGTTCGAACCCTCACACTGGTCAGGCCTTGTCTGCGGGAATCAGGTGCCTGAGCACAGTGTTCGGTGCACAGAAGGCTCAGTACTACCGATTATGTTCTCGCTAGCGCTGTTCTCGTTGCGCAAGCGAAACACGATGACAGGTCCTGGTCGAGTCTCACACCCCATCCCGAAGTCAAAAGGAGCACGTCCACTTTCCACTGATGTCTGCAGCTGTGCTGCTCGAAGATGCTGTAGGCGGAGAGGCACAGCTCAAAGTAACGGCGACCTTGATCTCAAGCCCTCCCAGCTTCAAGACTGCACTTGAAAGCTTCGAGCCCTGAGCCAAAGGAACCCCTAATCATCATCCTCCAAAACGCAGCTCCAAGCTCTCGAGGTGCGGACTGGAGAGGAGCTTCATGGTGTGCTGCCAGAACCTAAGGCCACGACTCCTACACTCCCCACAGCACTTCGACATGGAGCTGCCTTGCCCAATCGAGCAAGAGAGTTACGATGGTGATGGTGACGGTAGTGACGACGACGATGATGAGAGCGTGATAGGGGTGCAGGCAGCGGTGGTGGTGCTGGTGGTCGACGATGATGACGATGATGATGATGGTTGCAGGACAGACAAAAAGGGCTACACGCGATGCAGGGTTGTCCGGACCGTTCCTGAGCTCACGGCTCGGGCGATGGGACGAGGCCGCCGCGCCGCATGGTCCGAAGCATGCGCTCGGCCACATCCACCTTCACGAAAGAAAGGACGTGATGATTACAACTGTGATTTTTGTAATGTCATGAGTCATGAGTATGACTACTATGACAATCACTATGCTGTTGCGATTATACCGACTTCAACCTCGGGGCTTCTATATCCTTTTATGGTTTACCGGTTTCAGGGTAAAGTTTAGGAAACTTGTTTTTACTGCCTCTTTTCCACCCGCCTGCTCCGACCACAAAGGCTAGTCTACCCTAGAGGCCAACCAAGCACTGCCCTTCCCGTTTGGAGCACGCTCTACATACGGTAAAGGATTATAGCAACCTGTCCTCACAAAGTCCGCAACGGAAACAGCTTCACCATTCCTATAGCCCTGAACCCACTACTATCGAACAGCGTCCCTTCAGGTTGCACACGCTCAAAAGGTTCTGCATTTGTCCTGCGAGTCCTTCTTGGCACCTGCCTTCAGAAGCATCTCCACGCGGTCGATTTGCGAGTCCTTCTTTGCACCCGCCTTCAGCAGCAAGTCCACGCAGTCGGCGTGGCCGCTGGGTGGACTCCGTGGCCGCGCTGCTCAGCGCTGGCGCCGACAAGGACGCAAAGAGCGATGTTTGTGGCACGCCGCTGCAGCCAGCCCTCCGTGGCGACCTGGGGGAACACCTCCTCGCTTCGGCCAGTCACCGCAAAGGGTCCACGAGGTAGAGCTCGGTGCGCCAGATGAACTCTCAAGATGAAGACCGCAGCGATCTTGCCACCGGAGACCACTAGTACTCGGGGATGCTCCTCCTGAGGTTCACAAGCAGCATCCCCGAGTAATGCTGGAATACCACCATGGCAACTGCCAGTATTGTCTGCGGCAAGTCGTCACCCACAGCAGTCCACAAGCGTGGCGGGTCCTGTGGAGAAGGCCAAGGGCTTCGTCGTGCCCAAGCTAGTCAAGCTTGGGCATAACGAATTCTCCAACAAGACCCGCATCGGAGGAAGGGCCAACCATCCCGCCGGAACAGACGACGTGGGAAT